ATTGCATCAAAACCTCAGTGCAAAATTTACGTCCTTCATGGGAGTTTACACTGTTGGTTAACAGCGAAACTGAGAAAAGGATTCAAGAACTTTACTAGGCTTGTATGTCTGGATTTTTGTTAAGATCACGTACTGTTCTTCTATGATGCAACCCCCAGAGTGTTTCTACGTTTCTTCCTGAGGATATAAAGAATTGTTAATGTGTTTATTTGGTTTCCTGTCTTATTCATTGTATGCTCTGCCTAAACTATCCCCACACACCTTTCTTTGTCAAATCTCATTACCATGACATAATTCTTTATCATTTGCTTTTAAGCATTTTCATTTTGTAGAAAGTTGGGCTTATTTCTAGCCCTCATCCGTGGATTTCCCTAGGCACAGAAAATTAGGCTCTAATGTTCTGTTTACTCATTTCAATCTATGTCTCAAGGTATCCTGTATACTCAAAAATTAGTATCTGATAGTCATTGGAAAGCCACAGTCATGAACAGTGTGTTCTTAAAAATATTTAGTAGTCACAGACACTTAAATCTCCATCCATACATGCATGGTGGTTATTAAATGGTGTTTTTCTTGTCAGAAATGACTTATCTCCTGGGAATTGCAACCCAGTGTCTCATAATCTAGCCTAGATATATTCCTCAATCTTTATATGTTTAGATATTTTAATCTGTTTTGTTTTTCCTTCTACATATCATGACTGGTCCAGGACACCCGGAGATGGAATGGCAGAGCCCGGTGTCTGCAGGGACATGCTTCCTTTGATAGTAGAAAGGAGATGGATTAAACAACTTTCTTAATAAATTAAGGAAATACATGTTATGGCTTAGGATCCAGAGTTTGTCAAATATTCCCCATATCTTAACTTCTGGAAAAGAGCAAATGGTACAGCTTTCTTCAGAGGTCATAGGACAAATGCCCCTCTGCTTTATGGAGGCATTCAATAATGCTTTAAACCAGCAACAGTAATAAACGATCATTTATTCTAGGTTACTATCTTTCCCAGCACTTTTCTAAAAGCATTCTTCATGTCCTTATTCCTGAGGCTAAAAATGAAGGGGCTGAGGAAAGGAGTAATAACAGTGTAAGGGACAGGTATGAGTGTGTCATCTTCTCCTGAAGCCTCTGGCTTCAGGTAAACAATAGATGCAAAACCAAAATGGATTATGACCACTGTGAGGTGGGAGGCACAGGTGGAAAATGCCTTCTGCTTACACTCAGCTGAAAGGATCCTTAGGATAGTGGAAAGAATGAAGACATAAGAGAATAATGAGTAGGAAGGTACTCAGCAAACATGATACTGAAATCAATGTTACAATGAATTCTGTGAGATTACTGTCTAAATAGGACAATCTCAGCACTACCCGCATATGGCAAAAGAAATGTTTCACAAGGTTGGGGCTGCAGAAAAAGTCTCTGAATATCAGTGCTGTCTCTATCAGAGAGACAAAGAAGCCTCCAGCCCAAGCAAAGGTCACAAGTTGTCCACATAGTATGTTGGTCATAAGCTGTGGGTATCTGAGAGGGTGGCAGATGACCAGAAAGTGATCATACCCCATTAAAGTGAGGATGATGCAGCTGGTGCCCCCAAGTCCCAAGAAGAAACACATCTGCAAGCCACAACCTATGACAGAGATGCTTCTGCCTGTGGTTAGTAGATCTGCCAGGATTCTGGGGATGATGCTCAATGTGTAGCAGTTCTCAGAAAAGGAGAGTGCACTCAGGAAGATGTACATAGGGGTGTGGAGGGCTCTGTCCACCCAGGTCAGACCCATGATGGTCAGATTACCCATGAGGGTGAGAAGGTAGAGGCAAAAGCAGATCACAAATAGTAATATCTGTACATCGGGGTAAACAGAAAAGCCAACAAAGATGAACTCCTTCACGATTGTCTGGTTTTTCTTCATTGTTTGAATGTTAGAAATCTGAAAGAAATAAGAAACACACATTTCCAGAATCATTCAATTTTCCATTATTCTTTAATGTCATCAAATGAAAATTTTAGCATGAATAAGGCAAATTATTAGAGAGTTCCAATTACCAACTGCTCTTTCATTCAGTGTAGCAAACCACCGTGTGTATGTATTGACGTGCTTTCGTTTTTTCCATATATTCATTAATTCAGGGTTCAGTTACTGATCACCTACTGTGTGCTAAGAACTATGGCAAAAATTTTTAAGGACTTTATTGGCAGATAATACAGTGAGGGAAAAAATATTTCAATTAATGTCCAGATAAAGGAGACTGTGGCACACTAGGTTAACCAGATTTAGATCAGATCCTGAACACTGAATACTAAGTGGTTAATAGATAGAGCCAGCATCCAACACAGCAACTTCCAGACATTACACATTTTGTAAATACCTACTGAGTGAAGGTGGAGAGTTGATCTCCTAGTAATTGTAGGACCTAGCTTAGACAATACTTTACAACAGTTAGAGATGTCCAAAGCCATCATCTCTTAGTGAAAAAGAACTTTAGGCCTGAAATATTAAAGTAAAATAAAGAACATGTTTCCTTCACCCTACTCTGAAGGGAGGGAAGGAATAAAGATATAATACCCAGCATCACTCAGGAAGCCTCAGACCAGGATTCATAGTTATTAATTTGGAGACGTGGATTGTGTTGATAAACAGACTCTTTGTGCAAGCATAGGGAAGATGGAAAATCAATTTTGTCATTTCTTCTATGCCAAGTTCACATACTATAAAGGAAGTGCTATCTAATAGCTCTACGATGTCTTCATTGAGGACATCATACATGGAGAAAGCAAGAAGTCATTAAAAAGCCAGGAAAGAAAAGACCAAAATGGATGTCAGAAGAGACTCTGAAGCTTGCTCTTGAACATCGAGTAGCTAAAGCAAATGGAAGACATGATGAAGTAAAAAAGCTGAACAGATTTCAAAGGGTAGTTTGAGAAGACAAAGTAAAGTATTATAATGAAATGTGCAAACACCTGGAGTTAGAAAAACAAAGGGGAAAAACACTCAGCATTTCTCAAGCTGAAAGAACTGAAGAAAAAATTTAAGACTCAAGTTGCAATATTGAAGGATTCTATGGAGAAAATATTAAATGATGCAGGAAACATCAAAACAAGATGGAAAGTATACAGAGTCACTATACCAAAAAGAATTGTTCTACATTCAATCATTTCAGGAACTAGCATATGATGGGGAAACAATGGTACTGAAGGAAGAAGTCCAAGCTACACTAAAGGCATTGGTGAAAAACAAGGCTCCTGGAATTGACAGAATACCAACTGAGATGTTTCAACAAATGCATGCAGCACTGGAAGTGCTCACTTGTCTATGCCAAGAAATGTGGAAGACAGCAACCTGTCCAACCTACTGGAAGCGATCCATATTTATGCCTATTCCAAAGACAGGTGATCCAACCAAATGTGGAAATCATTGAACAATACCATTAATATCACACACAAGTAAAATTTTGCTGAAGATAATTCAAAACCAGTTGCAGCAGTACATTGACAGGGATTTTCCAGAAATTCAAGCCAGATTCAAAAGAGAACGAGGAACCAGGGATATCATTGCTGATGTCAGATGGATCCTGGATGAAAGCAGAGAATACCAGAAAAAATGTTTACCTGTGTTAATTGACTATGCAAGGGCATGCCACTGTGTGGATCATAATAAATTATGGATAACATTGCGAAGAATGGGAATTCCAGAACACTTAATTGTGCTCATGAGGAACCTGTACATAAATCACGAGGCAGTCGTTCCAGCAGAACAAGCAGATACTGTGTGGTTTAAAGTCAAGAAAGGTGTGCGTCAGGGTTGTATCTTCTCACCATACTTATTCAGCCTGTATGCTGAGCAAATATTCTGAGAAGCTGGACTATCTGAAGAAGAAGGGGGCATCAGGATTGGAGGAAGATTCATTAACAACCACAATACGCAGATGACACAACCTTCTTGCTGAAAGTGGAGAGAACTTGAAGTACTTACAGATGAAGATCAAATACTACAGACTTCAGTATGGATTACACCTCAACATAAAGAAAACAAAAATTCTCACAACTGGACGAATAAGCAACATTATGATAAACAGAGAAAAAATTGAAGTCATCAATGGTTTTGTTTTACTGGGATCCACAATCAACACCCACGGAAGCAGCGGTCATGAAATCAAATGACACATTGCATTGGACAAATCTGCTGCAAAAAATCTCTTTAAAATGTTAAAAACAAAGATGTCACCTTGAAGAGTAAGGTGCGCCTGACCCAATCCATGGCATTTTCAATCTCCTCATATGCATGCAAAAGCTGGACAATGAATAAGGTAGATCAAAGAAGAATTGATGCCTTTGAATTATGGTGTTGAAGAAGAATATTAAATATAACATGGACTGACAAAAGAACAAACAGATCTGTCTTGGAGGAAGTACAGCCAGAAAGCTCCTTAGAAGCAAGGATAGGGAGACTTCGTCTCACACACTTTGGACATGTTACCCTGGAGTAGGACCTGATGCTTGGTAAAGTACGGGGTCAGCGAAAAAGAGGAAAATCCTCAATGAGATGGATTGACACAGTGGCTGTAACAATGGGCTCAAGCATAACAACGATTGGGAAGATGGCACAGGACTGAGCAATTTTTTTGTTCTGTTGTACATATGGTCACATTGAGTTGGAACCGACTTGATGGCACCCAACAACAGAAACATGGTGTCTTCAATGATTCTACATCTAATTTAGTCACATCCTTCTCTGACCTGTACAACATGTTGCTTGTCCTTATATTTAACACATTCCCTTGCTCTGTATTATACTGAGATGTTGCTTTTCCCGCCACACATACCAATATATTTCATAATTAACATTTACAGAGTTTTCTACATTTTGCCAAATTCTTGAAAATATTTATTAGCCTTTCTCTTCACAGTATAAATGTGAAGTGCAGAAGACAGCCGTGAAGTATGTAGGGCAGCTGTGATCATTTTACTTACTTAAATAAGATCATTGTATCTAGGAGGTGACATATTTGCAACTAAAACTCAGCTGCTTTGACTTTAATTTTATATTCTTTCTACTTGTCAAAGCTTCCTCCTTGAGGAAATAGACTATGAGTCATATACTTCTGTATTTTCCAGGGTGCTAATATAGAGCATTTCAAGAAGATAACAATGTCCAATAAATGTTTCATAGATGGATTAGAAATCAAAAACAGTGTTTAATCTATAAACAATTTCCGTTTCACTTTGTTATTCAGAACTGTACTGCATGTGATTTGGGGGCGCGGAGATGAACAGACTTTCCAGTCTAAGTTTGGCTCAGGAGAAAATTAAGCCTTCTTATGCTAGAATCTACCTGGTCACTAGGAGTTCGAGAAAAGGTCAATATTACAAATGATTCCGTAAATAATTCACAGCACTATGGTCTCTGCCTTAGAGGTGGCTTTTGATTCTATTGGCTTCTCAGACCTGACAAGACAAGACTCTAATTCTTTCATAGTCATACACCCCTGCCCTAAGCTTTTTCATCTCTTATCAGCCCTTATCTTTTCCTGTTTTCCTCTTTCCTGCACTTATCTGTGAATAATCATTTCCCAATGAGAAGATTAGAATATTTTTCTGTCATTCTGCCTAACAATGTATTATGGTGGACTCTGCCTACATGACTCTTGGGCTTCCTTATGACGCTTATTAGTGTGAATCTCCTTGGTATGCAAATTCACACTTGCAGATTATTGTTCCACTTTCCTGTATAATAACTCCCTAAAACCACTTTGGACTGATTTGGAGAACGTGTTTCCTTCCTGAAAACACTGGGACTATAAATAAACACGTCTGTCTCCAAAACATTGTGAATTCCTTCCATGAGTAGAGCATTTTACACAAGGAAGCTCTTAAATTCTCTTGACTTCATAGTAACCCTATAAGTCAAGGAACTGTATGGATTCAAGAACTAAGAAATTAAGGACCCCAAAGGGGGAAAAATTGTAAAATAAGAACAAGGACCTGATGTCCTTGGTGTGAAACTCAAGCTCCTTTTAACCTACTACTTGCAGTACAGTATAATTTCATCCAGTGTGAACCATCTCCTCCATCACAGCCCAGGGAGCTGTTTTAAAAACTACCTCTAAAGCTCAGAAAAATTTGGGAAATGCAAAGAACCAGCAATACAAATTCAAGGACAAGTCCTTTTTTATTCAGTTCTTGCTTAATTTTGTGTTGAATACCTACCGGGTGAATTTTATCACTAGAATGAGTGTCAGAACTCAACCCCTACTTCTGGTATAGTCTAAATGTCTATGTGTGTGTGGAGGGGGTGCTATTTTTCCATTCTACTCCCATCACTTCAAGGAGTCTTGGTGGCCCAGTGGTTAAATGCTTGGCTGCTAAATGAAAGGTTGGCGGTTCAAACCACCAGCCTCTCCTTGGGAGAAAAGGACCTGAAACCTGTTCCCATAAAGATTACAACTTAGGAAACCCTATGGAGCAGTTCAACTCTGTCTTATTGGATCACAGTGAGTGGGAATTGACTCAACGACACACAACCACAACCCACAACTTCTGAAGTTGTTTTTTAAATTCCTTGTGTCAAACATAATTAGGGATATGGATTCACTGACAAAAGAAATATACACTATTTTGAAAGTCAAAGAGAAGTAAGAAGTTAAAGAAAATATATAATTTTATCCCAAGGATCTTTTGTCTTATAATGACAATACGTTATGAGGAGAAGTCAGTCAAATGATCTAAAAGAGTTTCCTACCTTGTGTATTTTATCTGAGCGCCAAAGACAATTCACTGTCACTGTTGTATTATTCCAAAAGACAGTTTTCTTCGCATTCTTGGAAGTATGCTTTATTCTCAACCCAAAAGGGACAAAGGTTCATTTAATATGGAAAGCAGTGGCCTAAGATCTTAATTCTTACCTTTACCACTGCGAGT